CTATTGGTATCTTTCCATGTCTTTCTTTCTTTCTTTCTTTCTTTTCTTTCTATTGTCATCTTTCCATGTCTTTCTTTCTTTCTTTCTTTCTTTCTTTCTTTCTTTTTCTTTCTTTCTTTCTTTCTTTTGTCATCTTTCCATGTCTTTCTTTCTTTCTTTCTTTCTTTCTTTCTTTCTTTCTTTCTTTCTTTCTTTCAATTGAAAATAGACAAAATACAATTTTGCAACAAATGAAAAACAAAACAAAAAACACTCTTGTTCACTATAATAATTTTATCAATTTGAATTACCAACCTGAATTAATTTTTATCGAGGCAAACAAAAACTGGTTTCCACCGTACTTACGTGGATAAAGGTAGTAAAAGAAAGCGGTAAGAAAGGACTAATCACTAATTGTAAGAAGACAAAATATATAGTCGTAAGCAAAAGGACAGTCCAAGATGCGAGCTACAAATTGGAGACACCAAACTCAAGCAAGTATAACTATATGGGAAGTCTTATGAAAAAGGTGACACCGAAATCCGAAGGCGCATTTGAAAAGAGAAAGATGCTTTTTGAAAGCTAAACAAAGTATTAAGAAATAGGAAAATTTCGTTAGAAACAAAGAAAAATGAGCTGAACTACGTAGTATCAATTCTCCTGTAGTATGTGTCTCACCCCCAGAGCAGTCCAGTGCAGACTTTGCACTCAGTGTCACACCAGACCATTAAAGTTGATTTGAGGTGACTAAGTGCACCTGGGTAGCATATGTGGACTAACTATAAGGAAATCATACTTATAAAACCCAGGTTGTGAGTGTGCGTGTGTGTCTGTTCGTTTATATTTCCTATATTTTTCAACCGATTTCAACAAAACTTCACTTTTCAGGACTACGTAAAATTACCTTGCGGTGGTCCTGACAGCGCCCACAATTGGAAAAACACAATTGTTTTTGCAGGAAATCAATTTGAAAACACGATTAAGAGGCATCACCGTCGCCAGAATGAAAGGGGGACAACTCATATCGAGTTATACTTATTATAAAACCCAGGTTGTGGGTGTGTGTGTTCGTTTATATATGGGATCGGATTTCCTATATTTTTCAACCGATTTCAACAAAACTTCACTTTTTTTTGGCAGGTAGTGTTTCTTATTGTCTTGCACACTTTTTTCTTTATTTCTACATTCAGAATGCCTTAAAAATTCCATTTACAAGACAATTGTTTATAATAAAATTCTATTCAATCGTAGACTCATAACGATTGAAAACAATGTTTTTGTGTGAGTTTGACCAATTCGTAAAAAAACAAAACAAAACAAAACAAAAAAAACTAATTAAGACACGCGTGTCCGTCAACCTTAAACAATAATCTTTGTCAATTTTATTTTTCAGTCTTTATGATGGTCGATACTTGATCTATCTCTTACTGTTACATCTCCGGGCAACACCGGGCTCTACTGCTAGTTCTTAATATTTACCATTTTATAAAGTTTGAATCAGTTGGCAGTTAGCCGATATTTTTCCAACCCTTCCAACAGATAATATAATAAATAGTGTAAATAAACAACCTAATAAATAAATAGTGCTTGTTTTTGTTTTAAATTCTCAAGAACAAAGAAAATGTATAAATTCCTTTTCATATAAAAGGTTTTGTTCCAATTCTAATGATCACTTTTTAAAACGATAGACTGATAAGAGTGACGGTAGTTAAGAAAGCGGTGTCATGGGAAAAAAATACCCTTTTGACATTCCGTCTGAGTGCGGGCACGTTTTTCTATGTTTGCCGAAATTTTAACGAAAATGGAATGACAAATGACACTGTATTAGAATCAGAGAAAGATACTTGAAATTTCTAAGGCACAGAACGAGAGAAGATGGATCAGAGAATTTGGCACTCACAGGGCATACTGAAGGCAAGAAAGGCAGAGGGAAACAGAGAACAACGTAACTAAGGGGGTTATGCAAATGGGTGAGAGAACGGGGACTGGGAGGGGATAAAACTTAGGTCAACGGAGGAGGGGAAGTTGCGTAGAACCCTGCTCACCTATGTTCTGAGGAGACACGATATATAGAAAAAGAGAGAAAATGATTTAACCTTTTGAACCTTGACTGTTATAAGTCAAAGCATTTCATATAAGGATTTGTTTAACATTTCATCTAGTGATTCGCTAAAAACTTAGCATACCATAATGAAAAATGCCCCAAACTTACAGATCGCAACATCTATCAGAGAGATTAAATTTAAATTTTTATTATTGCATTATTCCAAAATTTTAACACATCAGCAGATAGCTATTGATGTCAACAACTGAGCACAAATAATTCTTAATTAAAAAAAATAGGATTAATTATCTATAACTTTGCTGTAGTTCAAAACTAATTTAAATTCACTGAAATGAGTTTTTATTTTGAAATTGCTAAATCACAGATTTTAGCGCTATTTTTAGCCGTTTTATATCACAATATAACTCGCTTTATTAAAAAATCTTTCAAAAATAAAATATACTTTCTTGAATCTTTATTTGAGGAATATTGGTTGATTTAAGGTTAATTAATCTGATTTGAAGCAAATATTATTTACTTTAAGCTTATAGTATCGCAGTAATGCATTTTTTAATACGGTGGTATCAGTTTATTTAAGGTGTTGATAAAGTTGATAACTTGATTTTTTTTAAGACAATCGTATCCATAATAAATCTTATTCATAAAAGCAATTAAAAGTTTGTTTTTTTTTCTAATTAAATAGTGTCTTAGTTTTATGTACAGGAATGTACAAGAATGTCGTTTTTGATAAAAGTTAAAAATGACCAAAAAATACGTAAAAATGCATATATTGTTGAAAAGACTTTTTTCCACAATATAGCTATTTGTGCTATGTTATAATGCTTATTACCTAAACAATATTTCAGTGAATTAAAATTAGTTTTGAAATAGAGCAAAGTACTTTGCTTATTGGAAACATTACATTTAATGTGTTAGTTTGAAATTAAAAATAAAATAAAAGCTTTAAGAAAGATTTTTCATTTATAAAATTCATTTTAAATCTAAGCTATCACGTTTAATGTGGTGGTACCTAATTTTACCTATATATGAGGCGGAGTCATAAGTAATTTCCGTTTTGGGGAACAAGTTGTAATGACGAATGTATCATCCTAACTAATAAACATATGTGGAGGGAAAGAATAAAGTTGGAGTACACTGACATACCTGAGGGAAGGAAAGATGTGGAGAGCCATGATCGCCGAGGTGCTAAAGAGACATGGTGCATATATGAAGAACGTTAAATGATAAGCAATCTCCGTTTTTGGGAAACAATTGTAATGACAAATGTATCATACCTGGCGATTAAGAATAAATTTGGTGTACACTGACATAACTTAGCAGAGTAGTGGCAGCGTACACAGTGGATTAACGGGAAAATATTATTTTAAAGCATTTGAAAACATTTGGATATGTCAATCGCTACAGTGCTTGGATTCAAATTTGTTTCAATAATTCTTTGTTCAATCCCCCAAAAGTATCGATTTTTGAAAAGAACAACCACAGATGATGAAAAATTGATTGTTTGCAACAATGTGGAGCGAAAATATACCGGGGATAGTGAAAAATTAGTTTACATCCGATGGAAGTGATATTGTGTATCTGGAGAAATTGGAAGGATATTGCGTATTACAAGCTCCTTCTTCTATGTGCCGCACACATTCGCGGTGTGGGCGGTTATGGTTCTCCACAACTTTCTACTTTTTGTAGCTCTTAGCAATGCTTTTCATTTTGATATCTCTCCTAATCTAAGATGACTCTACCCATTGTTACATACACACTTACTCCACCTACCCAATCAGCATAAATAACTGATCTAGAGGTCGCGACCGAAAATGACATTAAAAATTTTAGCATACCCATTATCTATGGTCGTGACCCTAGATAATTGTTTAACTTTTTTGCATACATACTTTCCACAACCACCTAACAAATAAAAACAAGCATTCTAGAAGTTGTAACGGTAAATAAAGTTAAACGTTAGGTCGAAATTTGAGAAGGTCAGTTTCCTCTTTTCTCTGATTCTCTTACTTTCCCAGTGACACACACACACACACACACACACACACACACACACACACACACACACACACACACACACACACAGATATATATATATATATATATATACAACCCGAAAAAGGAATAATAGCATCTAGTCCAGATGTTCTCAACCAGGGGTAAATTTACCCCTAGTGGGTAAAAAAATTATATAGTCTGGGGTAAATAATTGAAGGAAATTTTTTTTTGAATGAATGATTATGACTAGTATTAATTTGTAGATCTACTAATACAGCGGATAAAATGAATAATTTTTTTATTAATGACTACAAACGTTAATAAAAATACTGAATTTTATAGAGTACTAACTTATACTAAAAAATTAGTAGATTAATACTAAATCAGAAATCAGTATTTTGAGTGTCGCTTAGTATTTTTTTAGGCACAGTATTTTGACTAAAAAAACCTTTAGTATTTTGAATGAAAAAATCATTCATTCATTTAGTCACGAAATTGTACATCAATGCTTTATGATGGCTATGAATTTTTTGTATGGGAGTAGGGGTGGGGGTAAATGGAGAAATACATAAAGCAGAGGGGGTCAATGATGGAGGAAAGGTTGAGAATGGCTGATCTAGTCTGAAGATCAAACTGAGACGTTAAACTGACAGTCCTTATGCAGTGTTGATTCTTATGCCCACAATCTATCTATCTATCTATCTATCTATCTATCTATCTATCTATCTCTGCCTTAGTATAAATGTGTATTTCGTATCTTTCTCTTTCTTTGATAGCAAATCTGCACTTGGCGCAGATTTAAGAAAACAAAGAAAAAGTAAAGAGGAAAAAGAAAAGAAAAAGGGAGAGAAAGATATAGAGAATGAGAGAGAGAGCGAGAGACAGAGTAGCAGAGAGAGCGAGAGACAGAGTATCAAAGAGAGAAGAGAGAAGGATGTGGAGATTTTTTTATTAATAGACTTCACTTAAAAATATTAAGCAATAATGGAAAGTGAGAGAAAAGTGAGAGAAGGGGAATTGTTTGAAAGAAAAAGACAGAAAGAAAAGGTGAGAGAATGAGAGAGTGGGAGCAGCGAGAGTGAGAAATAGAGAGAGGACATTTTTTCGCCATCTCCGCTTTAAAAAAAAGGAGAAAGGAATGAAACACGCGAAACAAATTGAAGAGAGGGAGAGAGAGGGAGAGAGAGAGAGAGAGAGAGAGAGAGAGAGAGATGAAGAGAGAAATAGACAATGTAAAATAGAAGAAAAAGTTGAGACTAAAATATAATGAGGGAGGGAAGAGTGAGGAGGAGAGAGAAAAGGAAGAAGTAGGGAATGTGAGAGAGGGAAAGAGAGAGAGAGAGAGAGAGAGAGCAAGAAGATTGTTGCTTGGTGATAGACAATGGTAACTGCTCAAACAAAATGGCTGTCGGTGTAAGTGCTTGAAAGTCAGATTGGAACAAAAAAGGATTATAGCCAAACTAAAATTCTGATGGTGTGAGTGGATGGCAAAGAATGACAAATATTGTATGCACGTGTGAGAGAGGAAGAGGAAGGAAAAAGAAAGAACAGAGAGTGAAAGATTAAGAGGAGGAGGATGAGGTCGGTGAGAAGGAAAGACAAATGAAAATATGAAAAAATTGAATATAACATGAGATTTTTTCCTGTTGACGACAATAACCAATTACGTCATTAGCAAGATCACTTGAAGCGTGTAACACCCTTTCTGTCACACACCTTCTCTTGCCTTTTCTTTCTTTCAACACTCTTTCTTTTTTTACTTTCAACATTCTTTCTTTTATTCTTTCACATCTTTCTTTCAATTACCATAATGCTATTTCGTTTTTCTTTTCTTTTCTATTCTTTCTTTCTTTCTTTCTTTCTTTCTTTCTTTCTTTCTTTCTTTCTTTCTTTTGTCATCTTTCTTTTTATCCTTTATCTTTTCATTTCTCTTTCTTTCTTTCTTTCTTTCTTTCTTTCTTTCTTTCTTTCTTTCTTTCCATTATCTTTCCATTTCTCTTTCTTTCTTTCTTTCTTTCTTTCTTTCTTTCTTTCTTTCTTTCTTTTTTCTTTCCATTTTCTTTCCATTTTCTTTTTCTTTCTTTC